TTATTTCATTATATATTGAAATGTAATAATAATAAAAATAAAGTGCACAATAAGTGCCATGTGCTTGAATCGTCCCCAAACCAACAGCTCTCATCCCCGGGACTATGGAAAAATTGCCTTCCACGAAACTGGTCCCTGATGCCAAAAAGGTTGGGGACTGCTGGCCTGTGTATTCAATTACTATTCTTGCTGGCCAAATTTAATGAGATGACTTATTTTGCAAACAAGAATAATCTTACTTTGATTATCTTTGATTAAAGTGAGAGTGACTATAGAGAGAAATTTTATGCTTCAATGGAAAACTATAATCCACCATTGTGAGTCACTAGATTCTGTTCTTGTTCATTGCCTCTGAGGTTTTATTATCTACCTGTAAACTGGACTGAGTCCCACCATCTTTTTTGTCAGTCCTTACCAAATTTTCAACTTTTCTACAACATCAGGCTACAGCCCTCTAAATCAACATCTCCAGTTTTTCTTCCCACCATTCTGACTTGGCATTGTGGAGGCCAAAAAATTGATTGCTGAAATCTGATCCTTACTGAAGCTCTTAAGTATCTTGTAGCTGCTCTTTGTCCAAAGCCCAGCAAGCTGAAACTGAATGACTTGATATAAGCTTCAAAGGACTCAGCATCACAGCACTGTGGGGCACTAAGGAAATTCACCAGAACACCCACATCTTCAATGCTCTGCTCCGAGAAACTACCGTGGCTATGACTCTGGTGTCTCTACCACCACCAAAAATAGTGAACTGTGATTTGGGAAATCTGTCAGATTGCCACTGCTCTCTTGACTTCGTCATCTAAAGATGCTTTAAGCCCAGTATCTAGAAATTGTCTCAACTGGCTAAACTCTAGACTCATAAACTATGTTTATCATATGTTCTCATCATCTTTTTCTTTTTGTTTCCATAGAAATGCCCCTCATTAAATGCCCAAGACTAAGAGACTGGTTCAACAAAATAGGAGGCAATGTGCTTAGATTAGGTCTTTTCTGCTTATTCATATTTGTTCTGACCTACATTCTTTTCCTTTTAGATCCTTACCTCAGAGCTTGTACTCAGAGTCTTTTCTCCACAGCAGTCAACCCAGCTCCTCGTATGGGAAACATTTTAGGAGTTTTAAATGGGGAAATGAAGGAATTAACAGTCCACTAAAGTGGTATGAAAGCTACTTTTTGTTTGTTTGTTTAGGAGTTGGAGTCTCACTCTGTCGCCCAGGTTGAAGTGCAGTCACACCCTCATGGCTACTGCAGCTTCCACCTGCTGGGCTCAGGCAATCCTTCTGCCTCAGCCTTCCAAGTAGCTGGAACTATAGGTGCATGCCACCATGCCTGGCTCATTATCGACATCGCCTTGGTCTTTGTTGGTCTTGGCTGGCTTTGGCCAGTCTTCTTAGTGCATCCTGTCTTTCCAATAAGGTCTGATCCTTGTGATATTCCTTTTGGGAAACTAGTCCTGCCAGATTCCTATCTCACTCCTATATCAGAATACAAGCCACATCTTCACCAAGGTCTACCAAGCCTGATACCACATCCTCCCCCGCACACCACAGGCCTTGAATATCCCATTGTCTACCTCCCTTCTCCACCATTTTGCTCCAACTCCTCTGACCCCTTTACTGTTCCTCAAAACTGCCAAGTCCCTGCCTCAGGGTATTTTTTATTTTTAACTTTTTTTTAGAGATAGGGTCTCACTTTGTTGGCAGGTTGGAGTGCAGTGGTGTGATCATAGCTCTCTGTAGCCTCAAACTACTGGGCTCAAGCCATCATCCTACCTCAGCCTCTCAAATCTCTGGATTACAAGTGTGAGCCACTGCCTCAGGGCCTTTGCACCGGCTCTCCCCTCTGTCTGGGATGCTCTTCCCTTAGATCTCTACAAGACTTACTCCCTGACATTTTCCAGGTCTCTGCTCAGATGTTCAAATCTCATCTTATTAAAAAAGGTCTTCATTTATCACCTTATATAAAATAGTTACACCCACAGCCTGTTGCAAGTTGGGTTCTCTGAAAGCAGACACTGGGGACAGAGTTTGGGGTCCAGAATGTTTATTAAGCCTCAGCACTTATGGAAGAAAGATATGGAAGGATCAGGATTGGGCAGAGGGAGAAGATGAATTGTGATGCAGACCTGACAAAGCAGTGACCACTTCAGCAGGGAGCACTAGAGCAAGTGTTGGGCATCAGAATTGCCGCATGTTGGATGGAAAAGTCCAGGCCTTCATACCCCCAGTGTCCTCAGCCACTGGATGTGGGTTGCCTGGGACTTTGGGCAAAACAGCAGCCTGCAGCTGAGACTGACCCTGAAAGAGTCAACCGCTTGCCGTCTACTGCTGCTCACTGCGCATAGCTGGGTAGCGGGATTTTCCTTGGAGGGGCATCTGAGTGGATCATCTTGGTGTCTACCACCCCCACTCACCTCCACCCCCACAGTAATGACCCTTCATTAGGGCAGGGACTTATTCTCTAATAAGCACTGACATATCACCAGCACTTAAATGCTGCCTGGCTGATAGTAGGTTTCAGTACATACGGGTTGTTTGAATGAATGAATTAGTGAATAAATTAAATTAATTACTAGATTGGAGATTTATTAAGACTATAAATGCAATGCTGATTTACAATGTTTATCCCAATGATAACAGCTCTCCTGCTATCTTTCATCATGGAAGCATTTCAATTCATTTTCACTGTGCCTGTTACAGAACCATGTTCCTGCAGAATGGTGATGCATTTTTGGTGACCTGAAAAAGTTGCATTCTTGTTGTTCTCTCAAGGTAGATTTCTTTTAGCTCAGCTGCATGGCAGAATGACAAAAGCACTGGACAGGGGTCTAAAGACCCAGGTTTTAGTGTCAGATCTGTTATTGGATGACTTAGATTTTTCAGTTTCTGCATCTGAAAACAAAGGAGTTGAAAAAAGATTTTTTAAGATTTCTTCTGGCCCGGCCCGGTAATTTAAGCCTGTAATCCCAGCACTTTGTGAGGCCAAGGTGAGGGGATTGCCTGAGCCCACGGGTTCGAGAACGGCCCAGGCAACATGGTGAGACCTCATCTCTACAATAAATCAAAAAATTAGCAGGGCGTAGTAGCACACGCCTGTAGTTCCGGCTACTTGGAAGGCTGAGGCAGAGGAATCGCCTGAGCCCAGCAGTCGACCCTGAGGTGGCCGTGAACCGTGAACGTGCCACTGCACTCCAGCCTGGGTGACGGAGTGAGACTCCAGCTCAAAAAAAAAAAAAAAAAAAAAGATTTCTTCCAGCTATAACATAGTGTAGTGTTCTTCATTCAGGGCCTTGAACTGTACATTTATGTGATACTTTGCCTAGTTATCTTTAGAAACTATACTAGAGAGTAAAAAATAAATTTTAAAAACCCCACAGGAGCATTACAGGAATGTGGGTGGGTCCTATAAGCAATGGGGTGTTGAAAGAGGAAACTGGGCAGGTCATGGCTGAAAGCAGCCTTCTGTAAAAAGGTCCATGGGAGATGACCTGTCAGAAAGCACATCAGTCAGAGGCCAGACAGAACCCAGGACGGGGAGCAAGACAGGTGCATCTAAAGCTGCATCTGTGTGAAGAGTAAACGTGTCACCAGAAGCATCATGACTAGATGGGGCGGGGTCACCCAGAGGGTAGTGCTGTTTGTTTATTATCTGTCTTTTCTCTCTCTCATAATCCTTCTCTTCATTGTAATCTCCATGAGATGACAGAGTAGATGTCTAATGAATATTTATCTACAAAGTAAAATTAGGCAAACAACAAACACCTTCTCTCTGCTGCTCTGCCCATTGTATTCTTCACAACATATCTTCCCTTTAACAATCTATCTTTCTTAATTCAAAACAAAGTTAAAATATAATTAAAGATGTTAAGATCTCAGTAGGAGTATCATTCACACTGTAAGAAACGCATTTCTTTACAGAAGACCCAATTACTTCTATCTACCTACCTACCTACCTGTCTGCATACCTATCTCTATCTGAACTAAAACAAAAGTTTCATGAAACAAATTTTACTCTTTCTAGGTACAATATTTTTTATTTTCTATTTCTTTTCTTTCTCTCTCTCTCTTTTTTTTTTTTTTTGAGTTGGAAGTTCACTCTGTCACTCAGACTGGAGTGCAGTGGCACAATCATGACTACCACAGCCTCAACCTCCTGGGCTCAGGAGATCCTTCTGCCTCAAACTCCCAAGTAGCTGGGATTACAGGCACGTGCCACCTCGTATGTCTAATTTTTTGATTCATGGTGTAGATGAGGTCTTGCCATGTTACCCTGGTTCTCAACTCCTAGTGCTCCAACAATCTTCCCTCCTCAACCTCCCAAAGTGCTAGGATTACAGGTGTGAGCCACTGTGCCTGGCTTCTATTTCTTTATTTAAAAATTCTGACCATGGCCCAGTCTACTCATTTAGCAACATCACAGGGAGGGAGGGAGTGAGCCTTACAGGTCGATATGACAGGATTATCCTGAAATGGAAATGGAGAGCCTGGCTGCCAGAGATCAGTGACGCTAGAAGTTTCCTTACCTGCCTCCCTCCTGATTTTGTGCTTTGCAGGAAGACTTAGTATTTTAACAAAATTTCCTCCTGATTCTTTTTTTTTTTTGAGTTGGAGTTTCACCCGGTCGCCCAGACTGGAGTGCAGTGGCCGCTCCAGGCCACCGCAGCCTCGACCTGCTGGGCTCCGGCGATCCTTCTGCCTCAGCCTTCTGAGTAGCCGGAATTACAGGCGCGCGCTACCACGCCCGGCTGATTTTTTTTGATTTATTGTAGAGATGAGGTCTCTCTGCCCAGGCGGGTCTCGAACCCACAGGCAATCCACTCACCTCAGCCTCCCAAAGGCGCGGGATTACAGGCTGAGCCACTGAGCCTGGCTCTCCTCCTGATTCTTTTAGGGAATGAATGTGCACATCAGCATCAGCAAACACGAGTATCTGCGCTGTTAATATTTCTGTTAATTGATATTCTATTTTGATTAATTAGTATTGATTAATTGATATTCTATTTTTGTTTTCAGTTCAAATTCATTTCCCTTTTATTAAAGTCCAAATTACCATTACATAGTTTGGTACTCAATAAAGGAAAACTTGTTCAAATAAGGTAATATGTTATCATCAGTATTTCCAGGTAACTGTTTACAATCAAGTAGCAATACCAATAAATCCTTAGGAAGCACATCCATGAGGTTTATACTTTGTCAAGGCCCAGTTCCTCTGGAGTGGAGATTTCCAATTCATTTAAAGTTGGTCTAAGTTCCTGGATGACATAGGGGTAGATTTCCTTATGAGGTCCTGCTTTGTCCTTAACAACCTCTAGGATGCGAACTGCACTAGCAAAATCATTTAACCATCTGCATGCCCGGAAAGCAGCATCAGTGATTTTGGGTTCTGGAACCAGATCATAGCCAACACGCGTGTTCATCCCTTTACTCAATTCCCAGGCATCTATATCTGGTTTGTTGAAGTATGTCACCCAGCGAGCATCAAACTCCTCATCTGTCTCATGTGACCCATGAGAAAAGCAACGAACTGAACGGATAGCGGCGGCGGGGTCGGGGGCCGGGGCGTCGTACAGGAGGCCTTGAGGGCCAGCTGGGTGGCCGCGGTTACAGCGCAACGACGGAGAGCAGAGCCCAGCATGACGGCGACTATGGCACGCAGGCCAAGGCTGGAGAGAAGCCGGGTGTGATATTCTATTTTATACACTTATTTCTTATGAATATGACTAGTGTGAGTCAGTATTTGAGAAACTGTTCACCTCTGGATGCCCTGACAAGGTCATAATTTTACAGAGAATGGACCCTGGACTGGACAGAGGGTGGGCCATTTCATGATGTTTTGAGGGAAAACTTCCTTTGGGAGAGTCTAATGCTTGGAACAGTTTGGAAACACACCAAAGGTCTTTTTGGATGCTGCCACTGACTTTAGACTTTTTTTTTTTTTTTTTTGCATAGGAGTCTCACTGTCACCAAGGCTAGAGTGCAGTGGCACACTCACGGCCACCGCAGCCTTCACTTGCTGGGCTCAGATGATCCTTCCACCTCAGCCCTCCAAGTAGCTGGAACTGCAGGAGTGCACCACCGCACCCAGCTAATTCTTTGATTTATTGTAGAGACGAGGTCTTGCCAAGGTGCCCAGACTGGTCTTGAACCCTGGGGTCAGGCAGTCCTCTCACCTCTGCTTCCCAAAGTGCTGGGATTACAGGCATGAACCACTACACCAGGTGACTTTAGACTTTACTGTGAAATCCTCTGTAAACCTGTGTAAGCAGCTCTCTGCTTACTCAAATAGATAAAGAGTGTTGTATACAGAGAGTTTTAAAGTTTGTTTTTAAAAATTCACTTACGGCTGGACGTGGTGGCTCAAGCCTGCAATCCCAGCAATCTGGGAGGCTGAGGTGAGGGAATTGCCTGAGCCCATGGGTTTGAGAATAGCCTGGGCAACTTGGCGAGACCTCATCTCTACAATAAATCACAAAATTAGCCGGGCGTGGTAGCCCACACCTGTAGTTCCGGCTACTTGGACGGCTGAGGCAGATCATCGGAGCCCAGCAGGTCAACTCTGGGGTGGCCATGAGTGTGCCACTGCACTCCAGCCTGGGCAACGGACTGAGACTCCAACTCAAAAAAAAATTCACTTACAGCACTTGTCCTTTGGTAATAACAATAAGTCATTTTCAGCTAATTCTCACATGGCACACATGAGTGACATGTTGTAGAATATCAGCTCTTGCCACTGGACACTATAATAAATACAAACTCCAGGGCAAACTAACCCTACTCACACAAGCATGTGCTCATTTAATAATGCATTGCATTTGGATGGAGGTTTATAGTCTACACATGGTGCAGGCTCACATGTTCCTCAGGAAGTCAGGGCGGGTGGTGTTACAACCGTGACTCTGGAGGCTTCAAATAATCCACCCAGGTCATTGACTCAGTACATGGAAGAACTAGGCTTTAAATTCCAGCCTTCTCGCCTGCACATCTGCTCTCTTTCTATGGTTTCACAATTGCATTTCTTTTTGAGTTGGAGTCTCACTCTGTCGCCCAGACTGGAGTGCAGTGGCCGCTCCCGGCCACCGCAGCCTCGACCTGCTGGGCTCCGGCGATCCTTCCGCCTCAGCCTTCCAAGTAGCTGGAACTACAGGTGCGCGATACCACACCTGGCTGATTTTTTAATTTTTATTGTAGAGACAAGGTCTCACCAAGTTGCCCAGGCGGGTCTCGAACCCATGGGCTCAGGCAATCCACTCACTTCAGGCTCCCAAGGTGCGGGATTACAGGCTGAGCCACCGAGCCCGCCTCACAATAGCATTTTAATACAGCGACCATCGTCTGCAGGGTCCCCAGCCCCGGGGATGTCTAACAGGCTCAGGTGCTCGCTGCAACACTGCTTCTAAGCCTACCTTCTCCTCCAACATATGCCTCGTATGGTGCGCACGGAAAGAAGGAACACTGGCTGACTTCGCACAGGTAAGGGGGACCGCATACATCTCCCACTCTTGAAACTATCCTCTTGGCTCTCGTGGTTAGAGAAAGTCATCTGATCCTGAGAATTATCCAGATCCAATATCTGGAGTCACTTCAAATCCAAGCGACAAACGGAGGTAACCAGGAATGAATGCACACCACGGAATGAGCATTATGTCCAGCTGACCACAGAGTTCACATAACCAAGCTGCATACTGTACATGACACAGAGTGAGTTGCTTGGGCCAGCTTCCCATGTGTCCTCACTAAAACGTGGCAGGAGTGTGGGACTTAGAATATGTGAAGTTAATCACTCTTAATCTCTGGAACTTTTTAACTATCTATGCTCACACTTTACTCAGCTCATCATCCTCACCATTCTAGGGGTCTGAGAGGTGTTTTTTTTTTTTTTTCTTTTTGAGTCAGAGGCTCTCTCTTGTCACCCAGGTTGGAGTCAGTGGCCCACTCGTGGCCACCACAGCCTCGACCTGCTGGGCTCAGGTGATCCTTCTGCCTCAGCCTTTCAAATAGCTGGAACCACAGGCACGCGCCACCACACCTGGCTAATTTTTTGATTTATTGTAGAGATGAGGTCTCACCAAGTTGCCAAGGCTGGTCTCAAACCTGTGGACTCAGGCAATCCTCTCATCTCAGCCTCCCAAAGTGCTGGGATTATAGGCGTGAGCCACCGGGCCTGGCTAGAGGTGACATTTCAAGCAAGCATTTGCACCAAATACTGGTGCAAATCTCCTTTCCTAATTTCTAGTTCGGTGTTTTTGCCATTTCTAGACATTATCTACATGTTGTTAATCCTGATGAAGTTCCCTTCATGAAGCTTCTCTTGTGTCTTTCCAGACCTGTTGGAATTTAAATGCAGGGCAGTTGTTTATCTTGGTGCATGGTTGTTGGGTTCTCAGATTTCATTGTTACCAGTTGCTTGGTAATGACATCATAGAGGTGAGAAAGGAAGACACAGTCAGGTAATGGCTTTGCAGGCAAATAGGCTAAATTCCAAGGGACCCCAAGTGGCCACACTGGACTTGTGTGCTCACTCAGAGTGGCTCAGGGAGTCCCTGCTTTCCCTACAGTACTCAGAAAGGTATTCACATTTGAAAGGGTGATTCCTCCTCCATAGCCATCCTTGTAACTTAGAGAAAAATTCTCAGATATTTTTCAAGTATAGACAGCAATTTATATTTGCTCCATTCTCTAAGAATGTGCACTTTCTTGAAGGGTTATTTCTATTTTTTTTTTTTTATTTTGAATTGGAATCTTACTCTGTTGCCCAGGCTGGAGTGCAGTGGCACACTCACGGTTACCGCAGTGTTGACCTGCTGGGCTCTGATGATCCTTCTGCCTCAGCCTCCCAAGTAGCCGGAACTACAGGCATGCGCCACCATGCCCAGCTAATTTTTGATTTATCGTAGAGACAAGGTCTCACCATATTGTCCAAGCTGGTCTCGAACCCATGGGCTCAGGCAATCCACTCGCCTCGGCCTCTCAAAGTGCTGGAATTACAGGCTTAGCCACCAACCCCGGTGAGAAAAGGGCCCAGCCTCAGTCTTCAGAAATGCACCCAGTCCCAGCTGCACCAAGATGACCTCATCCCCTGCTCACATGTCCCCAAAGGAGTAAGATGGTTTTTGTTGGTTTTTTTGAGTCGGAGTCTCACTCTGTCACCCAGACTGGAGTGCAGTGGCCGCTGCCGGCCACCGCAGCCTCGACCTACTGGGCTCCGGTGATCCTTCCGCCTCAGCCTTCCCAGTAGCCAGAATTACAGGCATGCGCTACCACGCCCGGCTGATTTTTTGATTTATTGTAGAGATGAGGTCTCGCTGCCCAGGCAGGCTCAGGCAATCCACTCACCTCAGCCTCCCAAAGCGCTGGGATTATAGGCTTAGCCACCGAGCACGGCTGGAGTAAGATGTTTGATGTGACTCAAGAATGGGCCTTTTAAGCTGGGCTCAGTGGCTCAGCCTGTAATCCCGCGCCTTTGGGAGGCTGAGGTGAGTGGATTGCCTGAGCCCGCGGGTTCGAGACCCGCCTGCGCAGCGAGACCTCATCTCTACAATAAATAAAAAAATCAGCCGGGCGTGGTAGCACATGCCTGTAATTCCAGCTACTGGGAAGGCTGAGACGGAAGGATCTCCGGAGCCCAGCAGGTCGAGGCTGCGGTGGCCGGGAGCAGCCACTGCACTCCAGTCTGGGCGACAGAGTGAGACTCCAACTCCAAAAAAAAAAGAGTGGCCTTTTGACTGAAAACTACTCTAAGGACCAACCATCCAGGAACCGGTATGCAAAACAGAATGCTTAAATATGGAGGCAGAATGACTTTATCCTTACAATCCCCTCCCCAAAACTGAAGGAAGGTGGAGAAAAAGAGATGGAAGCTGCTTATTCATTAGCTTCCAGAAAGCAGCATCTGATTACCACTTCCTCTCATCGCCTTGATACATAGATTCTTGCACAAAGAAGAAAGAGAAAGTCATCAAATTCAAATAACTTCAAACCAGTTCCCACAGCAAACCTGGCAAATCCCTGGACTGCCAGCGGGTGGGAGGAGTTCCAGAGAGACACTCTCAGTGGGCACCTCCCAACTGGGCTGCCGGAGATAGATAAAAATGCCTGACACCCAGCAGAATTTGAATTTCAGATAAACAATGAATAATTTTTGTGTGTATGTCCCCATTGTTTATTGAATCAAATTTAATGGGGCATCTTATGTTTTATCTGGCAACCCTACTTCCTTTTTTTTTTTTTTTTTTGTTTG